AGGCCTGTCGGAATAGCCAGGTTTTAAGGGCTTTGCGGAAGGTCTGGAGGGTGGTGAGGGTTCGAATCTCCACGGGGAAAGGCATGTTAAAGGTGCAATTGTGTGGATTTATTTATAACAATATGTTTTGTTCGCCTTTCAGTGGATTTTGATCGGCCAAGCGATCACGAGGAAGCTTTCGCAAAGGATCTCGCAGAATTCCCGTCCGTGGAAAACGGCGCCGAGACAAACGATGAGGATTCGAGCATTGGTTTACCAGTGCGGCATAAAAGGAAAAAAGCTCACCCACCAACCTCATTGGACCAGTATTACAAGCAGGATAAGGAAGGGGCCTCCGCAGCAGGCCTTCCCTTGTCTTTGGTCAACGACCAGGCCTTCAGCTTGGTGACAGCAATTGCCGGCGATGTCGTGACATCGGTGGTATCGGCAGCCATCAGAGAACAGTTGCAATCTGTGCCGGAAATCCCAAGCGAAGAGGCAGAGGCAGAAGAAGGAGATGATTTCGAACTGCTCGATCAGTCGGAGCTCGAACACATGGAGAGTGAACTACCAATGCCTACCAAAAGCCCAAAGGCAGAGCCCCAGGAAAAAAAGAAGTCTTCGGGCTTTCTCTCAAATCTGCTCGGTGGGCATTAACGCGGAAAGGGAAGCTGCTTAATATAGTATATTGATATAAAAACAAGACAATGTGAAATGCAAGGGAGAGGAATTGACGAGCTGTTAAGCTTTACCTATTATTCTAGATGTGCTGTAACATTCTTCATGCAGAGTGAACGAACGTGTTCTTAGATCAGTTGATGCTGGTTAGCTTTGTTTTATGATAGTTGATGCCATAGAAATGAAATCACGATATTTTCATTCACAGCAATTTTAAGAGGCTTCTTATACAAATGTAGCTCAGTTTTGGCTGTCGCCAAATCTTTGTCACTTTCAGCCTGTTACCCCCACCCCAAAAAAAGCATTTTGGCAGCAATATTTCAGGGAGAGAAAATATCTGCAAAATTCAAAAAGCCATCGTACCCTAACTTAACAAGGCTTCGAACACTTTTTTGCTGCCATCATCTTTAACACACCCAAGTCACACATTCTCTAATTGAATAGTAATTTTTCTTATGTTATGAGGACCCAGATTGTTGTTGGGGGCAATATGCTGACTCTGTAAACCGCTTAGAGAGGGCTGAAAGCCCTATGAAGCGGTATATAAGTCTAACTGCTATTGCTATAAGTGAATCATGTAGTCATGAAGCTAATCTGGCTTCCCCCATTGCTAGTCAGAAAACCACTGGGAAGGTTACAAATGGTGATCACATGACCTTGGGGCAGTGCAACTGTAAGAGATACATGCCAGTTGCCAAGCGCCCAAAATTTTGATCACATGACCACATGAAAACCAGTCATGAGTCACTTTTTTCAGGGCTCACTTCAAACGGTCGTCCAATGGATGGTTGCAAGCCGAGGACTTGTAACTGGTTGTATAACATCTGTTCTGCTTTTTATTATTAAAATGTTCCTTTCACTTTTTTTCAACCTAGAGTAACATAGGAGAAAGTGGTTTTAGACTCAGCAAAAGAAGGGTATCATCCCATAACTGTTACTCCAAAGTAAATACGGTGCAATACAGACTTAGAAGGGGTGCGATAGGAAGCAATCCTCTTAAGGTAGCCACATCCCCCAGAAGTTTCAATACATTTGGCGTTTCTATGTCATCTCTGCGTGCTTCCATAGCTACTTTGTTCTACTGACAATCCCAATGGACATTCAGACAACGTTGGAAAACTTTCCATGCAGTTGTGTGAAGCCTTTTGTGTATAGTTGCCTCAAAAGTTTTGGGGATGGTTTGTTCAAATCGATGTGTTTTGCAGCGTCCTTTTCAAATTCTTTGCAAAGTCCTAAAAGTAAAATCCTCTTAAGGAAAGCACCTGGTTTCAGCAAAATCAGTGTTCTTGTAGCTTGGTTCTGACAATACCAAGTTCTGACAGTTCTTGCCAATCAAATGTATTAGATGTTTGCATAATTCTAGCTTTGATACTGCTGGGCAGTTTCACCATTTGAAATGCAAATTAGAAGGCTCTACCATTGTGTAGAAGGTAAATTCTTTAAATTGTGTTTTCTTTTGTAATAAAGTTAATGGATCTTACCATTAAATGGATATAGGAATAAGTGGGATTTATGTCTAAGGAAACATGCTGCAGATTGTAATTCTAAAGAGCAGGCACATATGGCTGTTGTAAGTTAAACTACTAAGAGAATCTTCTCAGTACTACCCATTATGTTGTGAACTGTAACTCTGTGCACTTTATTATTTTCTTTAAATAAATATTTCAGGGATTTTCAAATGTCAGATAACAGAGGTACTGTTTTAGAAGTTCCATCCTTGAAAACAACTGAAGGGGCTACTTTAAGAATTCTTGTAAGGAATTCTCTTTCTGGTTTTCAGGTAAACAGGTATAATCAAACATTTGACATATCTTTCTGGGCAACCTAAAACATTTATATAATTGCACTCATTTCTTTGTTGTTCGGAAATTTATATTGCAAACATTATAATGAATTGGTACCTTTATGTCTTTGTGTTTATTTTTAATCATACAGGCTAAAAATCTATTTGTGACACACCCAAAGAGCTGAGTATGCTTAATTTTTTCCCCCTTAGTTTGTTATTGTTGTTGTCATTGCAAAATAAAATATTCTACCTACGAAGCCCCAAAATCAATTTAATAAATAGAAATGAATTAAAAAGTGACTTGCCTTTTGATATATTTGACAAATTTGAGCCTTCCATCCATCAGTGTGATTTGTGTCTCTTTTTTTTCCCCCTGGCTCTGCTTATGGTCAGCAAATCCACTAATTTACGATTTAGTAATCTTTCCATCATGCACATATACTGAATTATTGTTTATTATTGAAGAGAAGACTTAAAAATTGTTTCAGGTTGCACCCAACAGTTCAATATAAAGTCCTTAAGTTTTTCATATCTGTCATTGCAGGGGTAACGAATAACACACAATCACATTAGCTTCGCTCTTGGGAACCAATGGAAACAACACCATATAGCCAATTCAAGAAAGGTTAATGGATAAAACTTTAGAAAATGTAGAGAGATGATGGCTTCCAAACCTTTTAAAAGGTTAATGATGCTAACTCCATAAATATGGCAAATGTAAGCAAATTGTATTTACAGTATAGAACTATATTAGTATGCAAGCTTTGGGTAATATTTCTCTTTACCTTAAAAAAATAGACTTCTGGGACAAGAAGTTTGCATCACAAAATGTACTCCTTCCACCCACTTTTTAAAAATTCTTACTTGCAATATGCTTGACTTAGAAGGAAGCCGAGCCGAGGTGGCGCAGTGGTTAGGGTGCAGTACTGCAGGCCACTTCAGCTGACTCTTATCTGCAGTTCAGCGGTTCTAATCTCACCGGCTCAAGGTTGACTCAGCCTTCCATCCTTCCGAGGTGGGTGAAATGAGGACCCAGACTGTGGGGGCGATATGCTGACTCTGTAAACCGCTTAGAGAGGGCTGAAAGCCCTATGAAGCAGTATATAAGTGTAACTGCTGTTGCTATTGCTATATGCATGAACCAGTTGCCAAGCACCTTTTCTGACCTAAGGTAAAGGTAAAGGTTCTCTTCACACATATGTGCTAGTCGTTCCCCACTCTAGGGGGCGGTGCTCATCCCCATTTCAAAGCCGAAGAACCAGCACTGTCCGAAGACGTCTCCGTAGTCATGTGGCTGGCATGACTAAACGCCAAAGGCGCAAAGATCGCT